CAACACCTGAACGACTAGTCTGCACGCCATTAACCAAAAATCTTTCAATTAAGTTTAGCTGCAGCTTTAGATAATATTGCTGCGACCAAATGAAATTGAAGTCACGAAAACAAATCCATCTCGCTTTTAATCACCACATCAAACGGCTGATGGCAATGGCATTAAAGAAACAGGCGCGCTCATCTCAATTTGGTCCGTCCACCGGCCGGTATAATGGAGACAAACAAGAGAGCCAGGGGATAGGGGAGGGGTGGGGCGCTCCCTGGAGTCGTGTACCTGAAGGTGTACAATCAGTGGTCTCACGGCGCGCGAGTCTCCGCTCACTCCCGATAAAAGCTGAAGGTCAGGAGAAATTAAAAACTCCGACCGTAAAAAGGCGAAAACTGCGTGGAACGAAATTGAGATTGGTTTAAGATCTCGTTTTACCGACGTCTGCACGAGAGTTGAACGTGGTCGTCAACAATGGTACTTCAATTATTTAATATACCAATCAAATCGCAACTAATTTCAACACACTTTCGGGGCTGTGGGGGGGGGGACCACGTGACCTGTAGAATTGGGCTGGCCAAGGTGATCTATCCCATTATTGAGATTAAGCGTCAGAGCGCGTGGCGTGACGTCAAACACCTTATCACTAATTAATCAGGCAGGTAAAAGAAGCCGGCATCTAACAGGGGCCGCCAGCCTCCCCCCCCCCCCCCCCCCTCCCTGCTCGCCTGCTCGTACAGCGTGACGGGAATGGCGCTAAGACACGTGATCTGTTCACGTCTGCTGGTGCCAGGTGTGCTCACAGAAGTCATGGACGACAAAAGTCATGTGACTGTCATATCATCTCCTGTGAAGTCATGTCATCAGCTGTGAGGTCATGTCATCACCTGTGAAGTCATGTCATCAGCTGTGAAGTCATGTCATCATCTGTGAAGTCATGTCATCAGCTGTGAAGTCATGTCATCAGCTGTGAAGTCATGTCATCAGCTGTGAAGTCATGTCATCATCTGTGAAGTCATGTCATCAGCTGTGAGGTCATATCATCACCTGTGTAGTCATATTATCACCTGTGAAGTCATATTATCACCTGTGAAGTCATATCATCACCTATGAAGTCATATCGTCACCTGTGAGGCAGGACATAAAAACTGAATTTCTTCTCAAAAGTATGACATAAAGTTTAAGTTAAACATCAGTTTGACTCGAGAATTGTCAAACTCTGGTTTAACGTTTAACATTGCGCGGCTTCATCTTGTTTCTCTCGGCCAGGTAAGTTTAACGCTTGAATGAGACAAGGGGGACTACTCACACCATCCAATCAACGGACAACCAGCGCCATCTTGGATCATCTTAACTATTCTGTTAGCCGATGGTATCTACCTTTAACCGCCATATTGAAAGAATGTCACCTTTAATTCACCGAGTATCAAACTGAAAATGTATCACCTTTTTTCTTCAACCGCCTTATTTAGACGGTGTCACTTTTACTTAAGCGACCGCCATACTTAAAAGATGTCACCAATAATTCACCAACCGCCCAATCGGGACCATGTCACCAATAATTCACCAACCGCCATTTTAAAAGAGTGACACTCTGAGCTCTCACCATTGTCCTCTAATTGTGGCTCTCACCCCCAACTTAGACCGTCTCACCTATTATCTCACCACTCCTCCCCGTGAACCACAGTCTCACTTGACGCCATCTTGGATAATGCACACCTTTGCATTGAATCCCCGGCGGTGAGCTGAAACCCTACGACCGCCCCTCTTAGAATAAAGAGAAACCAATCTGCTTGCTCAAGTGCAAGAGACAAATTATCTCCCTTTCCCGCCAATGCTAACTATCGCCTTAACCAAAGCATCCAGTAACGTTTTTTTTTCTCCCGGGATGGAGCGAGTTTCCCGCAAAGTTTCAAATGAATATTGATCTTCCTTTCTAGCCGACATTATCAGACAATCATTTTAAAGTCTGGACAAAACCTTTCAACCCCCCCCCCCCCGGTTAACCTTGCGGCCGGCCGTCAGATAAAAGTAGTGGTTGGTCAATCGATAAGAGTCTTGAGGCCTGGATTAACAGCGGCCTGATAACTGGGGTGATACAGGGCCGGCCAGTACTCACGGGGGAGGGTGTGGCCGCACGGGGAGAGGCGCCTCACACGGACAACCCACAAATGGAAAAGTTACCCAGATTGGGGTTAGATAGAGGGGGTGGGAGGGTGGGGGGGTCAAGGTCGTTGAACAAAAAATGATATTTTAAAATCAAGTTTCAGTGGTATCATCCCCAGTGTGTGTAATTGTCGACAGTTTCAACTGCCCCAATTAGCTTCATTAAAGCCAGCAGAAACTATTAGATTTTATTGCAATCATGATTGACTGATTGTTAGTAATGATCGATTGATTGACTCTAACGGTTGACTGTTGTTACTGTCAGACTATCACATTCCTGACTCCACTATCACATCCCTCTGTCATGACTGTCTCCACTATCACAGTCCTGACTCCACTATCACATCCCTGACTCCACTATCACATCCCTGACTCCACTATCACAGTCCTGACTCCACTATCACATCCCTGACTCCACTATCACAGTCCTGACTCCACTATCACATCCCTGACTCCACTATCACATCCCTGACTCCACTATCACAGTCCTGACTCCACTATCACATCCCTCTGTATTGACTGACTCCACTATCACATCTCTCTGTTTTGACTGACTCCACTATCACATCCCTCTGTATTGACTGACTCCATTATCACATCCCTCTGTATTAACTGACTCCACTATCACACCCCTCTGTATTGACTGACTCCACTGTTTTACACTTGACTATCGTTCCCATTGAAGGCTCCATGAAGGGCGTGTGAGGTCAGCACTACTCCAAGCCGCCTTTACTTTCCTTATCATGAGTTGGGTACCCACCAGAGCTGGGTTTACTCAGGGACGGTCTACGGACGCAAACCCGATTCGAACCTGAGATGTTCGGGTTAGCAAACGTGTGCTACACCAGCTGACCGTTTATCCAGTCAAGTTAATCCTTACGATTAAAGCCAGTAACCCTCTCTATAACACTGACCAGACTTAAGCAGAAACAATCAGATCACGTGATCACGTGTAAATGTTCTCACTTGCCCAATGTGTAAGTTTTTTTTAAAAATTGATTAAAACAATTCTTGTTGTCTTTATTTTCAATTGAATAAATTAATTTCCTCTGTGTTTATTGTCATACACTATCAATGTAATCAATATCAATCATTTAATTTTCTTGACGAGATGGTATTTGTGTTAACACCAGTTTATCAACCACCCCACCCAACCATCGCTAATAGAACAACATCTGACCACCCCGTTTATCAACCCCCCCCCCCCCCCCCATCTGACCACTTGGCTCCAGACGTCGACCATTTATCACCTGTCCTAGTTTGTTGTTAAGTTCTCTCCCTGGCCAATATCTCCAACACTCAGCTTTTTCTGGCCGAGTTTATCCAAGCTGCCAGTTTGGCTTTGTCATCCAATAAATCAGTTCTAGAACGAGGTGGGGGAAAATCCTGACCAGTCTTAACCCAGCCTGTGTTTAATGAAGAAGAACTAATGTCGCGGTGTCTACTGGAGGCAATCAACTCGTAACCTGTTAATGAAGACCTGGTCACATGACTCCCGTTGATTGTCCGGTAGCCGGGCTTGGCAAGACGGGAGAATGAAACCGTTTTATGGGGCCCAGCACGGCCGACCGGCGCATGCGCAGAATGCATCAGATGATCGGCTAGGATTTCTTGGGGAAATGGAGCTGAGCGCTAGAAAATGGTTTCATTGAGCCGGCTCAAGTCTTTAAGTGAGGTCACTGGAGCAAGACACGTGACCTATTAGTCACCAATCAGGTGCTAGCAAAACAGGAAATATTTTAGTCACCAATCAGGTGTTAGTAAAGGATGAAATATTTTTAGTCACCAATCAGGAGTTAATTAAAGGATAAAATATATTTAGTCATCAGTCAGGCGCTAGTGAAATCTTTTAGTCACTAATCTAGTGAACCTCACTACCTGTATCATTACCTTGTATTGAAACAAATCTTTAGACTTAAAACACTACACCAAAACACCAACCTACCATATCACCAGCGCCCCCCACCCATAAAGCGCCTCTCCCACACTCCCACAACCTCCCAACCTCACCCACACAACCCCACACTACCTCGAGAAACCTAAGACTACACTCACACATCTCACACTTTATTTTTTCCTCTCTCTATCACCTCAGCGGGGGATGTGTCGTGGGACGAAGGACGGAACAAGATTGATAAGTGAGTGGGGGGGGGGGGGGTTCAGCAGTGAGCAAACCTAATTACAGATGACATATTCATAGTACACCCATCCACGGGTCACGTGGACCAATCAATGGCGCACGTGTTTGTCTCCTTACGTTTGTGTGAGCTGAGTTCAAATCTCGGAGGCCGGCCCTGACGTAGCGGAACAAAAGCGGGATGCTGGGACACATTCGGCTCCGGCCTTGTTCCGGCTTCTTGTGTCCAGTCGGGCGTGACGAACCGGACGGGAGACGTCAGGGCCGGCACTAGAGCCCAGGTAGGGGCTGACGGGGCCGGCTCGGTGAGACACAAGGGCGGCAACTGTCTTAGCTTCAGGTGACATCATCCATGACGGTTTTATTAACTCCCCTATAGGGGCCGTTGATTGGCTTACGCCCCACCCAGGGGCCAGGAGATATAAGCGCCATGGCGAGCCCGACCCTGCGTCTATTGTTTCCTCTGGGGCGCCCCACAACGCCGCTCCTGAAGATGGTATCGCTTGTTATTACTCAAATATTATTGCTTATTTGACGACAGCAGCTTTTCAATGCGGGATTAAACCAAACGGTTTTAGACCGAGGGTGTCAAGTTGAGGGAACAAAGACATCGACCCGCTAGGATCCGAACCTGTAGCTACCACAAGGATGGTTTGCTTGGTTATTGTTGTAGAAGTTGGTGATGATGTGGACCAGGTGAGTGATGATGATGAATGATGACGATGATGATAATGATGTAGATAATGATGAAGAAGATGATGATGATGGTGATGATGGTGATGATGGTAAGGATGGTGACGATGATGATATTGTACAAAAGAACTTGGGAGTAGCTTCTCACACCACTCACAATCAACTCTCCCACATCTAGACGCCACACACACCACACACATACACCCACACACAAACACACGCACACACCACTTACTACCAACAACCTTCGTCACTCTAGACCTGTCAATTTACTCAACAATTAAATGGGTTGATCAGAAATGTAAAGTAAGGACATTTTTAAGTCAAATCTCCATTGAAAAAACCAACGAACGTGCATCGACGCCTTGATCAGCCACAGCTATAAATAATCAGCAACAGCTATAAATAATTCAGCCAGTCACGTGAGTTCAAGGTACCCAAGTTATTGGTCAGATTTTACTTGCTTCTAATTATTTATTCATGTCTTCAAACGATACGGTATTTTTTTGTAAACCATAGTTAAATTATTTACACTGCGCTTTAAAGGTAACACCCGATAATTTCATTTTTTTTAATATTACCCGAAAGCTTACGCCACACATGTGTACATTAAAATATTGTACAGGACCAAATCACACTGTGTACATTAAAATATTGTACAGGACCAAATATCACACTGTGTACATTAAAATATTGTACGGGACCAAATATGACACTGTGTACATTAAAATATTGTACAGGACCATAGTCCACATTGTGTACATTAAAATATTGTAAAGGACCAAATATCACACTGTGTACATTAAAATATTGTACAGGACCAAATATCACACTGTGTACATTAAAATATTGTACAGGACCATAGTCCACATTGTGTACATTAAAATATTGTACAGGACCATAGTCCACATTGTGTACATTAAAATATTGTACAGGACCAAATATCACACTGTGTACATTAAAATATTGTACAGGACCAAATATCACACTGTGTACATTAAAATATTGTACAGGACCAAATATCACACTGTGTACATTAAAATATTGTACAGGACCAAATATCACACTGTGTACATTAAAATATTGTACAGGACCATAGTCCACATTGTGTACATTAAAATATTGTACAGGACCAAATATCACATTGTGTACATTAAAATATTGTACAGGTCCATAGTCCACATTGTGTACATTAAAATATTGTACAGGACCAAATATCACACTGTGTACATTAAAATATTGTACAGGACCATAGTCCACATTGTGTACATTAAAATATTGTACAGGACCAAATATCACACTGTGTACATTAAAATATTGTACAGGACCAAATATCACACTGTGTACATTAAAATATTGTACGGGACCATAGTCCACATTGTGTACATTAAAATATTGTACAGGAACATAGTCCACATTGTGTACATTAAAATATTGTACAGGACCAAATATCACACTGTGTACATTAAAATATTGTACAGGACCATAGTCCACATTGTGTACATTAAAATATTGTACAGGACCATAGTCCACATTGTGTACATTAAAATATTGTACAGGACCAAATATCACACTGTGTACATTAAAATATTGTACAGGACCAAATATCACATTGTGTACATTAAAATATTGTACAGGATCATAGTCCACATTGTGTACATTAAAATATTGTACAGGACCAAATATCACACTGTGTACATTAAAATATTGTACAGGACCATAGTCCACATTGTGTACATTAAAATATTGTACAGGACCAAATATCACATTGTGTACATTAAAATATTGTACAGGACCATAGTCCACATTGTGTACATTAAAATATTGTACAGGACCAAATATCACACTGTGTACATTAAAATATTGTACAGGACCATAGTCCACATTGTGTACATTAAAATATTGTACAGGACCAAATATCACACTGTGTACATTAAAATATTGTACAGGACCATAGTCCACATTGTGTACATTAAAATATTGTAAGGACCAAATATCACATTGTGTACATTAAAATATTGTACAGGACCATAGTCCACATTGTGTACATTAAAATATTGTACGGGACCATAGTCCACATTGTGTACATTAAAATATTGTACAGGACCATAGTCCACATTGTGTACATTAAAATATTGTACAGGACCAAATATCACACTGTGTACATTAAAATATTGTACAGGACCATAGTCCACATTGTGTACATTAAAATATTGTACAGGACCAAATATCACACTGTGTACATTAAAATATTGTACAGGACCAAATATCACACTGTGTACATTAAAATATTGTACAGGACCAAATATCACACTGTGTACATTAAAATATTGTACAGGACCAAATATCACACTGTGTACATTAAAATATTGTACAGGACCAAATATCACACTGTGTACATTAAAATATTGTACAGGACCAAATATCACACTGTGTACATTAAAATATTGTACAGGACCAAATATCACACTGTGTACATTAAAATATTGTACAGGACCAAATATCACACTGTGTACATTAAAATATTGTACAGGACCAAATATCACACTGTGTACATTAAAATATTGTACAGGACCAAATATCACACTGTGTACATTAAAATATTGTACAGGACCAAATATCACATTGTGTACATTAAAATATTGTACAGGACCAAATATCACACTGTGTACATTAAAATATTGTACAGGACCTTATATCACACTGTGTACATTAAAATATTGTACAGGACCAAATATCACAATGTGTACATTAAAATAGTGTACGCGTCCAAATATCTCACTGTGTACATAAAACTACCCAGCTAAAAACGACTTGATTGCTAGCCGACCCTCATCACAGACAGCAGCCATGATGGCGCTCTGAGACAAACCGAAGAACTCATCTAGCGGACTGATACAAGGGCCAGTCCTGCACATACAGCTTGAGGAAAGTAGTGCTCTAAGACAAACCGAAGAACTCATCTAGCGGAGTGATACAAGGGCCAGCCCCGCACATACAGCTTGAGGAAAGTAGTGCTCTAAGACAAACCGAAGAACTCATCCAGCGGAGTGATACAAGGGCCAGTCCTGCACATACAGCTTGAGGAAAGTAGTGCTCTAAGACAAACCGAAGAACTCATCCAGCGGACTGATACAAGGACAAGTCCTGCACATACAGCTTGAGGAAAGTAGTGCTCTAAGACAAACCGAAGAACTCATCCAGCGGACTGATACAAGGACAAGTCCTGCACATACAGCTTGAGGAAAGTAGTGCTCTAAGACAAACCGAAGAACTCATTCAGCGGACTGATACAAGGACAAGTCCTGCACATACAGCTTGAGGAAAGTAGAGCTCTAAGACAAACCGAAGAACTCATTCAGCGGACTGATACAAGGACAAGTCCTGCACATACAGCTTGAGGAAAGTAGTGCTCTAAGACAAACCGAAGAACTCATCCAGCGGACTGATACAAGGACAAGTCCTGAACATACAGCTTGAGGAAAATAGTGCTCTAAGACAAACCGAAGCACTCACCCAGCGGACTGATACAATGACCAGTCCTGAACATACAGCTTGAGGAAAGTAGTGCTCTAAGACAAACCGAAGCACTCAACCAGCGGAGTGATACAAGGACCACTCCTGCACATACAGCTTGAGGAAAGTAGTGCTCTAAGACAAACCGAAGAACTCATCTAGCGGAGTGATACAAGGACCACTCCTGCACATACAGCTTGAGGAAAATAGTGCTCTAAGACAGAAAGAAGAACAAGTAAACCTGTATACTTTTTTCTTTGGATGGGCGGGGGGGGGGGGGGGGGGTTGATTCTAGAAAAAAGTTAGCCTCTCCATCCAAGATTAAGATATCTTCTACATATTTGTAGGGGGTGGCGGGAGGGGATGGAATTAGACAGCAGGCAAGGTGGTCTAATCTGTGTGACTTTAAACATCAAGTCATGTGTCACATCATGTGATGTGTCACGTCATGTGTGACATCATGTGATGTGTCACATCATGTGATGTGTGACAAACGTGATGTGTTGTGTAACATCCGTCTCAGAAACCCAATAAAGCAAGCAGACGATATACAAGTGTACGTTTTTTGTTTGTCCGTCTGACATCTGTCTGGGATCGCACAAAAAACCTCCAAAATATGCAAATCACGTGATACCCCATGCTCTATAGTCGAGCACTTGAAAAAACATTTTCTTGTTTTGGTTTTTTGTTTTGTTTTCGTTTCATGTTTTGTTTTATTTTTTTGTTTTTATGTCGATGAGAAAAATGTGTGAGCCAACAGACAATCACCCAAGACGTCCCAAAAAGTTGAGCTCCCGGAGTTAAGACCCAACCTGTTTTTGTCCTGAGCTCACCTTGCTCGGCCTAATCTTGCACGATTGTAACTCTACTATACGGGCGGGCTCAAGCCGAGCGCCCCGTTTGAAAACTCGCCCCGATTTAAAACCCGGTGCACACAATAGACCCACGGCCACAGTTTCTATGGCGGATGTGTCGGCTTTAGATTTCACTCAATTATTCGCGGCCCAGTCTGTCTAACACGTGGCAGTTAAGACGGGAGGGGTCGGGGCGGGAGGGGGTCGGGACTTAGACTAGCCATCCATGCGAGGAGTGAGCAGGGCGGGAGGCGAAATGGCCGAGTGAGATAGGGGACTCGCTACCTTCCAATTGTTTTAATATAGGTCTTGCCGGCGTTGGGGTGGGGGTTGGGGTGGGGGTGGGCTAACACCCCTGGATGAGGAAAGGACCCGCAGCGTTTTAAGGTCACGTGACGGTTTCCCATGATGGCGGAAGATGACCATAATAAAAGCGATTCCCCCCCCCCCCCCCCGCAACATTCATTAAATTATTTCAACCTTCATCAGACGGTCAAGTCTTTGTCTAACTAAGTGGACAGAATATTTCTGTAGTCATCCTTGTGTCTATCTGACTGTAGTCTTTCGTCATTGTATGGCCAAATCTTTCTCTTTACATGGCCAAATCTTTTACATGGCCAAATCTTTTACATGGCCAAATCTTTCTCATTGCATGGCCAAATCTTTCTCATTACATGGCCAAATCTTTCTCATTACATGGCCAAATCTTTCTCTTTATACAG